CCGGTTTGGCTCAGGCCGATGTGGTCGCTGATGCGGTCGCGGTTGCGGTACCAGAAGGGCTGCTGGCTCTCGGGCAGCGCCGCCACTTTGTTGACGACGTTGACGTCGTGGCCGTAGGCGTCGTAGCGTGGCGTGGAGGCCGCGCCGCCGAAGCGGTCGCTGAGCGCCTCGTCCGAGCTGCTGCCGAACGGCCGAGGGTAGTCGACGCCGTTGGGCGCGTAGCCGGGGTTGCGCTGCGGGAAGGCCAGGGCGCCGCACGCCGCGAGCAGCAGGGTGCACAGCACCAAGGAATTCTGGAAAGAAGAATCGTGTTGGTTGGTACAAGAATTGCCGTGCCTAGAATGCGGCGTCTCTCGGACAGCCAAGAATCCACTAACTTACATTTTCAAAAATTAAAAAAAAAAAATCAATAAATCTGATATGTATTTGATATGTTAATTTCATCCATTTCATATTTATTTATGCAGTTCCAGTTATTAATGCAGGATAATAAAATATATTTTCTTTACATATATATTATGTATATGTATAATGCTTTTTAGTATTATTATGAATATTATTTTTTATTTAAGGCCGCAACAACAGCTAGTTCATTATCGATAACAATATGGTTAACAGTAGGATGCGATATGGTAATGGTGTGGCGTGTAAGGACGAACACAAATACAACCATGCCAGAGGTGGGACTTAACCCGCAATCCTTCACTCCGAGATCTCTACGGCACTATTGCATTTACGATACCGGCCATCCGGACGCCGTGAATGTTATCATTACGATTAATTTCACAAGTGATCTTATTTAATTTACAGACATTTCATTATTTAATGACAGCATAGTAGAGGAGGTTAATTATATGAACTTAACCTGATGTTTTTCAATTACACCTTATGTTTTTCATATACGAGTATCTCTTTAATTATTAATAAGAGAATTCATAGAGAATACTAGGTCATAAAAGAAAATAAATATTTCATCATTAACAACGCAGGTTCAAAACTAATTCACTGGCAGCAAAAACAGTTAGAAACGTGTAAAATACATTACATTTATGGATCATATTACAGTTTAACATTTACGTGATTGTCATGTAATTTATAGAATATTACTATTATGTTTTTGAACCTGAGAAATATTTCACTACCATACTAATGAAGCTAAATATTATATATTAAGTAAAGTATTTTAACAAAAATGTTTTATTTGAGGAAGCAAACACTTTAAACACGTTCAGTATTAATATTTAAACAATAATATTTTAGTGTGAGAAGTGATAGCTTTGCAGAAAACAATCACTGGTTTCATATTGTCGACGAAGGTATTCTCAAAATTGTGAGTTAACTCTCGTTTATGAGTTTATGTTTCTCAACAATTTGCAATCTTTTAGCAAAGATGATCAAATAGACACCGCTAAGTACTTAACACTACAACCTCTGTTTACATAATAAACCCGGCTCATATTTTTCGGAGAATAATTTAATGAATACCTGTTTGTTCAACAAGAACTGTGATATTTATTATTTTAACACCTCATATGAATGTCACAAGAATGTCTGACTGTCATACGGGACAGCCTATGAAAGCAAAGTGTTTGAAATTAATTATGACTATATCGACAATCACGAATTCTATTTGCAGTCCAATTCGCCCTTTCAGATGCCCAT